GGTCGATTTCCAAACTTCTCCAGATTTCCATACGCTTCAGTGGCCATGATGGCTCAGGATTCTGGCTTCCTCCTGACATACTCCAGTGAAAGTAAGGTTTCTATCCTAGTCTCACACCACCAATTAACTACCTTTAGTTTTTCCCCCACTGACGACTCCACTGGATGAGTCTTTCTCCCCGCCCCTCCCCCACTGTAAGATTTCCACAGCTATTTCTTGTTTCCATGAAAAGCACAGGGAAGGCTCATTCATATCATCGATCCAAGCCTCCACCCTACTGAATGTGTCAGTCCTTAATCTTGCCATAACGTCTGCTTTCTTTCCCTAGAACTGCCACACACAATCTAATTTCCATTTCCATCCCAACACTAGCATTCAATGTTATTTTTAGGGCCACTTTTCACAAAGGTGGTGGGTCTGCATTCTGTTTTTCTCACTTTGTAAGCATGACCAAATCCATAGGAATTAAGAGGGAACCATAGTGTCCCCACTGATATACAGACGCTAGGCCCTCTTACAGTGTTGGCAGAAATGCTCAGTCGCTGCTCACCCCGGCACCCCTGCTAGGTGCCAGATAGTTCCTATCTGTACCTCCACAGGATGAGATGTCATGACCTGTGAGCCCCTCACCTAGTGAAGCCACAGTCGTTCAGTCCACAGAGGCAGGGTCTGCCATGCAGTCAGCTGCTCCCACCACAGGAGTGATCTTCCCAGTTAGGTATAAAATGGTGCACGAAGTCCCCAGATCAGAGAAGTTAGTAGGCAGTAAGATGCAGTATGCTTGGTACCAGAACTATGTGAGCAATTATGGGAGTGGTCTTCTAATGTCAGAAGGTGCCTCAGAATTGGGCAGTGTCTTGTTTGAGGCGTACTCACTGTAACTACTGTGAGGAGAAGGTGTGGAAGGGATGCAGAAGAGAGCCCAGGGAACTCTGGCCACCCTCCTGTCCCCCGGGAGCTCTGTACAGCTTGGGGCAGAGGGTGAGGGTGTGTGTGTGCGCGCGCGCGCACTGCCTTCCTGATCTGGGAGCAGGTGTGTGTCCTGCCACAGCAGAGTGTGCCAGGTGGTATAGGCGTATGTTGGCAGAGGGAGAAAGAGAACCTGCCATTTTCTCCTAATTTCTAAGTTAATTGCTAAGGGCCTTTGCAACATTTTTAATATGTGAAGAACCTTTGAACAGCTGGCAGGTACCAAATAAAATAATGGGAGTGGTGGGAAAGTGCATTCTTCTAATGAGCTAGTTGCTTCACATTGTGCCTGGCACTGGTAGGTGCTCAGTCTCAGTCCCCGGGAAGGCAGGAACATGATATTTTTTCAGCAGGGGCAGTGTAACATGGAGATTAAGAGCACAGACCACAGAGGTTCAAATCTCCGTTCTGCTGCTTTCTTGCTGTGTAACTTCAAGTTAATGCCTCGGTGTCCTCATCTGTAAGAGAGAGTTCTACTAGTATCCGTTAATAGTTGTCATTAGGAATAAAATGAGTGAATATAGAGACCACTTAGAACAGTGCCCCGCACCTATTATTGTTGTTAAAAAGTGTTGGTAGCATCAGCAGGAGCAGCAGTCACGTGAAGCTCCCCGCTAGGGCTGGCTGCCCTTCTCTGTGTCTAAGGGCCATTCTGGAAATAGTCCTGAAAGCTTTTTAACTAGCCCCGGATTGCTAATCTGGGGTTCCTTTAGCTGCCAGGTCACTCCCTGCCGCACAATCAGCTGTTCCTCAACTTGTACTTTGTGGGCTTTTTCTTCTCTGGGGCTGCCACTGGGCAGCTGTCTCTCTCAGGTTTCGTTCTCCTTCTAAATATAGTCCAGCTAATTTCTGCCCTCTCATCAGGTTCAAAGGGCGTGGGACTTAGAACGGGAATGGTGGTTGAGAAATCAGCCTTCATCCTATTCCAACTTCTAGTCTTCCGACGTTTTGTCATCCCCGAGGGTAGAACTTAAAAGACAGCTTTACAAAAAGAAGTAGAATGCGAAAAGATACTGCTTCTGGGAACTGATGCAAGGGTAGATCGGGGTTCCTTCCCAGACCAGGCCGCGAAGTGAGGTGATCCCTGTGCCTTGCCTCACACCTGCATTGACCGACTGACAGATCCATTTGCAGCGGAGGGTTCTTACTAGCGTCTAAGGGGCTGTCCTGGCATTGGCTCTGGTATAATTGAATGCTCCGGGGAAATTTGATTAAAATGTGAAAAGGATGCTTCCCGGTCATAGAGCTGTATAGGGTGTCCGGTGTGACACCAAGGACAGGCCCAGTTGTCACTGCTGTGTTAGCTGTGGCTGAAGGAACAATTAGTGTGACATTTGGCCGGGCGACTTGAGGCGCTGTGTAGCTCTGTCTGACGTAGGATAGGTTAGTGCTGAGCCAGACACTTGCATGTTGTTGCCTTTGAGAAGGAAGCGAGGGGTTCCCTGATGCGGTGGCCTTCTTGCGTCGCTCTTACTATGGTTCTTAGGTAAGGGAGTCACCAGCCCAGTGTTTTCCCGAGAAAACCAGATGGCTGCACTGCCATGTTCACCAGGGACTTGTGATATTTGTGCCGAGCTTATTAGCAGTTGCTGATCTCATAGAAAAACTAAGAAAACCTTATCTAGAATGCTGTGGGTTTTTTTCCTTGAAACGTGGGGTTCTGATCTAAAGAGCCAGAGCGGGCAGCCGGAGCATGACTTTGTATTGATCCGTCATGCTCTGGTCGGCAGCGGCTCGGCCGTCTGCAGCCCTGCTGCTCGCAGCTCACCCCATCCCCATCGCAGATTCTCCTGTGCGCTTGCAGTTGCGTGCTGAAACCGCGCACCCCCCAGTGAAGAACAGTTCCTGCTCGGAGAGGCTTCATCACAGCCCTGACACAAAAAGACAAACAGAAATCTGACTTGCCATGTTATCCATCCAATAAAAAAACCACCCAAGGGTAGGAGAATAGATATTCATCACGTCCCAGCAACTCAGCCAAGCCTGGGAGTTCAAGTGCAATATTTCTGGGTGGATTTAGAAAACCTTCCCTTGGCAAAGCAAAGAGTTCTCGTTCTGACAGCTCTTTTCACCAGTGGGCCAGCCTGTCTGGGTTAGAACAAAGGGACTTCTGCTTGTCTGATTTGGGCCGGATAGCGGTTTTCTCCTTCCCCAGAGGTTTGCGGAAGTTTGAATACTTTTCCATAAGTTAAGCAGAACCTCTTCGTTCTGCCTGCATTTGCCTTTATCTGCAGTCAAGCCTTGGCTGCTGAGGTGGCCTTTGCCCTGGTTTAGCATGAGCAGAATAGTAACGTTGGCTTGAAAAGAGATTCAAGAGATGATTATGGGATTATTCAGTAGGCTTGTCACCAGAGAATTTATCTGTTACAAAGGGCACGTAGATTATTTTTTATTATGGAATTTAGCAACCGTATGCCTTTGTGTATTTTACAGCATCTATAACAGCTGAACTTTCAGAGCACTTTTGTTAGTATGTCTTGCTTCTTCCCAGTATCTTATTTTTCCAAAAGTTCCTTTGCTTAACGAAGGTTTTCTGAAAGGAGCAAGGGTGAGAGCCTTACCCATAGTATAAAGTTAAAAAGATTATTTCAAAGAAAGCATGGTTTGGTTTGAATTGCAGCAGGTAAGGGAAATCTACTAAACATGTGTTCCCTCTGCATTTGGAAGTTTTGGCTTCTTATATGTGAGAAGCACATGTTTTCATTTTTCTTATTGGAAAACAAAGGATGGACTTAGCCAAATTTTTTGGTTCTGCCAAACTGAAATGAGCTGGCAGTTAAGTGCCATAGTAGTTAAGGCACTTGATGAGTGCCTTGCCTTGGGGTTACTCTTAGGCATGATTGTGGCAGTTCTGATATTTAAAGGTGAACATGGCATGATACAGAAGGAGCATTCACTTGTGATTTTCTTAAAAATGCACATGGCAATGGCAGGCATCGATTCCATCCACAGGTACTTACCACATAGCTGCCATGGCCCAGCACTGACTTAGCTCTAGTTGTAGAGTGAACAGGACAGGGTGACCCCGCCTGCCAGAGCTGACACTTCAGAGGGGAAGACAGTAGAATCTTCTTCAAGTCCCTTTGATGACTGTTTTCACAGAGCAAGAGGATAGGCAGGGATACGCTGTGTTGGCTCAGAAGACCTGGAAGCCACTGCTGCCTCCATTGGTCGTGTGGTCTGAGTGGATCACATGTGCCTGAGTTCTTTCTCATTTTGAAAACATTTGAAAACCATTTCTTTTTTTTTTTTTTTTAATTTTTATTTATTTATGATAGTCACAGAGAGAGAGAGAGAGGCAGAGACACAGGCAGAGGGAGAAGCAGGCTCCACGCACCGGGAGCCCGATGTGGGACTCGATCCCGGGTCTCCAGGATCGCGCCCTGGGCCAAAGGCAGGCGCCAAACCGCTGCACCACCCAGGGATCCCTGAAAACCATTTCTATCACTTCTTGGGACGATGTGAAGATAAATACAGTTATGATCCACTTTTGATTTTTTTTAGAGATAGAATATTCTCTTTTCCTTCTTGATTTGCTTCCTCTCCCGCCTTCTTACTCTCGTAATCCCGGGGACTTCCAGCAGAGGAGAGACCTGCAATAAGAAAGGACAGTCAATTCAGGCCAAACATCGTGGGCCAGAGGATAAAGGATGCAGCTCGAGGGTAAAGGTCACAGGGCACACAAGGCTGACGGTGAGAGGGCCAGTGAGTTTGGGTGAGAGTGGGCATCACCCTTCTCTGGTTCAGCAAGCCAGCTTCTCTGAAATATGTTCATTCCTATGAGAAAATGCTAGATTAGAAAAATGCACAGTGACAGTAGTAGAAGTTGAATACTTGCTGTTTACTGAAAGTGATCAGAATCTCCTGGTGCCATTTGTTTTTAAGAAAGTTCAAGTAGATGTCCCAGAGGAGGCAGAGGGTGATGGTTTCAGATTTGCCTTCAGAATGCTGAGCTTTCATTTTTTTGGTGTGTGTGTGTGTGTGTGTGTGTGTATGTGTGTGTGTATATATATATATTTTTTTCTTAACAGAATGAAGTTGGCCTACTGGAGTTCTTCCAGAATGTGATAAAAGAAACTAGGGCAGAGCCAAAAAAAGTAACTAGTTGGATCCTCAACAATTTTCTGGGTTTTTTAAAGCAACAGAACCTTGCTGTCAATGAGAGGTGAGTGGGGTCTGGGAATTCTTTATTCCTTTATGATGAACTCTGTGTCCAGAAACAGTTGAAGTAGGCCAGGACCAGTGTTTTGTTCTCCCTCTTGCCGCTCAGGATCTCCTGACAAGACACACACACCCCCTGTGAATTCCAAATTCTAAAGCTGTCCTCTATCGTATCCGAAATTTCATTTGTTCAAATCTTTGTCCGTGCTGTCCTTTGTATTGCGCTGGAGCTGTGGGCCTAAAGATGAGTAAGACAAGAGAATACAAGCTGGGGGCGGGGGGGTTGGTGGTAGTGGATATAGGCCTGTAAGAAAACAGGCAGTCACCTAAGTGTGATCCTGTTAGGCCAGAGGTGCAGGGGGTGCCCTCAATGGACACAAAATGGGCCTGACCCAAAGCCGGAAGGTGAACAAGGTTTCCCTCAGAAGGGGATGCTGGAGGTAGGCTCTGAAGACTAGTGGGAGCTGCCAGGTGATGAGAGGGGCAAGGGCATTCCAGGCAAGAGAGTAGCCATTGGACACTCAGAGGCAAGCAGGTGTATAGGATCAGGAAACCCAGAAACTCTGGGGGTGCCAAGGAGGCAAGCAAGAAAGCTCAGGAGAAAGCCACAGAGGCCACCGTGCCCTTCTGTCAGCAGCTCTCAAAGCCATAGATCTCCGGTCCACTCCAGTGTCACTTTGAGGGAGTGGAGTTGGAGGAACAGAGTAGAAGCAAGGAGCCTGTTGCTGGAGTGCCAGTGAGAAATGCCAAGGGCCTGAGCCGAGGTAAATGGGGAGCAATTATCTCACATTGCACAACTTCCAGTTCTTACTTGGACAGTGGAGTGAAATGAAGGGCAGCGTTTTTCAGTCTAGCGAGAGGTAGAGGGGGAGGAATAAGTTCACAGGGACGGGGTGGGGCAGGATGCCATGTTCCATTTTGGACGTGCTGAGTTGGGCTGCCCGTAGGACAGACGTCCCCCTCATGGGGATACCCAGGAGGCAGGCAGATATATGATCTACCGCTGACAAGAGCTATCTGGGAGGTATCAATCCTAGAGTTCTCATTTGTTCATTATTCAGCACATGTTTATTTAGACTCCACTCTGTGCAAAGCACTGTGCTAAACATGGGGAAGATCAGTCAGCACAACACATGTAGTCTCTCCTCTCAGAGCTGACAGTCTAGAAGCTGGTGATTTAAAAGCAGCTCAGGTGCTCTGAGAAGGAGAAGGTAACAACTAAGCTAAGGCCTGAGGGAAGCATGAGTAAGGTTAGGCAAAAATCCAAGAGGTAAAAGTGTTCCAGGATAGGGAATGGCACGTGTCAAAATCTTGAGGTGAGTCTGGGCATCACATATCTGGGAACACAAGTACATAGTCCAGTAGAGGTGGAACTTGGACTTAGGGGCTTAAAGATAGTTATTGAAGTTGTTGAAACAGAAGAGAATCCGGGAGGGTGTGGCCTCATAGGGTGGCTGAGGAAAGGAGCTGGAGATCCTCTAGACTCTAAGTAAGAAGCGTGGGCAGAGAAGGCAGCAGAGGAAAAGAAATGGCAGAGAATAGGAAATCTAGGACAGAGTGTCACAGAAGCCAAAGGAAAGGAAAGTTTGCAGAAGGGAAGAGTAAGCAGCAGATTGAAGTATAGGGAGTGAAGGAGAGAGAGAGGATGAGGAACCCTGGGCAGACAACCGGGCCCTGCCCGGCTAGGTCCCAGAGGGAAGTGGAACCCCATGGCAGCAGGTGTGCCATTGTCTCCGCAGCATCCCATGGCCGTGGAGAGTGGAGGAGGGGGACAAACGTACATTGGTACATGATTCCAAAACATTGTTGGCTCAGAGAAGGTCACACTGTACGGTGCCAACCTCACTTTCAGCCTTTTCAGTGTGTATATGCTGCAGTAATGCAGCCAGTTGGCCACAAGTTCACTGCCTTACTTGGCTCCTCACCAGCAGTGACCTTGGACAAGTTCCCCTCCCTGACCCTCCATTTCTTCACTATAAAACAAAAATGACAATACCTGCCTCTGAAGGTTTTTGAGTAGAAAATACACAGTGCCTGGCACGTAGCAGGCCCTCGGTGTTAGTTCCCTTCTCTTTGCCTGGTTGATATTTTAAGTACCAAAACAATAGCCACCCTCAGCCCCCTAAACTGCTTTGGCATCTGTTGCCTCTCTCTTTTTCATTCCTGACCTTTTAGGATTGACTTCTCTTCAGAAACTCCACTCTTTACACATAAAATATTGTGGCCATTCAGCAAAGGCTGGAGCCATCTAGAAAAGTTTATGGAGGAGAGACAACTGTACCAAAGCCTTAAAGAATGGAGAGGATTTGGTGAGGCCGAGGTGTGGGCAACACCTGTAGAGAGCCAAGGCTGGGAATGACAATGGACTATATGTTTTTAGACCAAGGAGGAACATAACTTGTAGGAGCAGAGGGTGGGAAATGGCAGGAAAGCACAGCTGACTGTACGATTGAAGCAGGGCTGGAGTATGAGGATGTGGAAGGGTCATAGGGGAGGATAGCCACAAATCCAGTAAATGCAGTAGTGCGCAACTCTGTGCAGTGCATGTGGTAGGACAAGGAGGACCCCATCCTGCCCCTCACGGAGCTTGCCATCTCCTGGGGAGGACTAGACTCATGTGTCAGTATTTTAATCCGAGGCAGAAAGGGATGCTTCTGTTGTAGACACAGTACGATGGGAGCAGAGAAGAGGGAAACTCATGTTGGCCAGAAGAAGCCAGGAAGGCTCCATGATGTGGTTTGAGCTTTTGGAGGAGTTGTAAATCTGATCTTTAAATTTATGGTTTTCCATGTCATTGGCTATGATTGATGATGTTGGCCTAGAGTCACTGAATTTTAGTCTTGGCAGAGACCTCAGACAACTTCTGGTTCAACTCTCTCCTTTAGCAAACAAGGAAGTCTAGGCCCTGATTGGTAAGGGGACATACCTCAGGTTGCACAACCCCTGAGACCAGGAACCAAGTCCCCTGACTTTCAGACTAGCATCTTTAGATGTCAGTCTGAAATTACAGGGTTTACTTATCAACCACGTTGGTAGCTGCTACAGGTGCCGAGGCTGATAAATGAGCTTGTTGAGTGAACTTGGAGCTCCTCGTCTTTACCCAAACAATTCGTAAGCACCAGAGTTTTAAGAACCCAGAGGGTACCCAATTCTGAATAAACATCTGTGGAGTTGTTCGAAAAACAGGTAAAGAGGGAGTTTACGTAACAGTTAATAATTCTGTTACACAATTTATATAGAACAAAAACTGAGGATCCAAAAGCAAGCTGTAGTAGCTCTCTTCCTATACAGTCCATAGAACCATTGTTAGCTGGACTGGAGACACCAGCCTCGCCTTGGAACAAACATTAATTAATGAACATCGTCAACCGCTGCAGCGAACGTTTTCAAAGCTTAGGACGGCAGTAGCTATGGAGCTAGCAGTAGTCTTACGATAACACTGACAGGGAACACTCTAGAGGTCAAGTTGGCAAGAACTGATTTTGCAAATTAGCATTCATCTTTAAAGACCTGTCAGAAGACTGGTGTTTAAAGGGTCCAACCAGAAAAGCTCTTGTTGAACTTGGCTCTTCAGTTATTTGGAACATAGGTTCGAAAGTTATTTTTCTGCTATTAATAACGGGTTTGATTGAGTTAAGAAAGTGGAAATTACAGATCCCTTGACCAAGCGTTTCATGGTGAAATCAGGCAAGGGCCACTGCCCAGTTGTCCAGTCCAGTCAAGTACCCCCAACTTCTAGGTCAGCCAAGGAGCAGCAGTTCCTGAGGTGCTAGCAAACCAGGGCAGGCCTTTGAGCCAAGAGTGCCTGACGGTGAAGGAAGAGAAGTCCAGTGTGACATGTGGGGACAAGAGTGGGGCTGCAGGGTTTGGAGCCTGTTAAAGATCATTCTGGCAGCCCCTGAGCGAACAGTGGTTATTGTCTCATAAACCAAAACAGAAACTGTGTGACAGAGACCATATGTGGCCTACAAAGCCTTAAGGATTTGGCCTCTGGCACTTCCCTGAAGAAGTTTGCTGACCCCTTGTTTAGAACATGTTTGGTGAGAGGCAGTTGAATCCAGTGGTAGAGAGAACTGGACCCTGAAGAAGCAGTGGCCATCTTGAGAACAGATGTGCTTCCGTCCTCTGCCGACCTGAGGCAGAGGCAGATAATCATATGGAAAAGAGCGCTGGCTCCTCCTCATTAGTAGGCCAGGAGTGCACAAGGGACAATCAAGGATAAAGAAGAGAATGTGGAGGTCCAAGGAAAGGGGTTTTCACAAGAGCCTTTAAATGTAGCCCAGGATTGGGGTGCAGCAGAATGGGGAAAAGTTGTTATGCTTGGCAAGAGCAAGGGGGATGTGATTTTTTTTTTTAAAGAGAACAGTTTCCGGAGAGGGCTAAAGTTAGTATCCAAATGGCTGTGCTTACAAGGGTAGATAGTAGCTACTGGTGCTGGATGTTTATTGGTAAAGGTGAGGTAAGAAACCAGGCAGAAGCAAGTGACTCCAAGATCACTTGCAGACATTTTCAAGGGAGGGAAGATCTGAGCATTTGTGAAGGTGCATGATTAAAGCCCCAGGAGAGAGGAAACAGACATGCAAGTGGGATCCATAAGAGTGGAAAGTCATGGAACTAAAAGCATGAGTCGAGGGGTTTGTTTGATGGAAGAAGAGGAAGAGGGCACACTAGAAAATTCTGAGTCTTGCAACAGCTGATGACTTTATGAGGTGAGAGGTGAGGGCATGTGCCAAGAAGGAGACCGTCTGGAACAGGTGCTTGGGTTGGGGCACCCAGTAGGGGTGCAGGGAAGCCATCAGGATGGACACAAGGATTATTGAGCTCCAAGAGCCACCTGGTGTCCAGGGCCCACTTAACAGAAGCAGAAGAGGCCGACTTTGGGCCAGAAATGAGTGAGATGAGCCACACATTTCTCAGATGAGGGGAAGGGGCTGGGTGTGTGTGGCTGTACAGGTGGCAGTGTCTGCTCCCAGAATCCACGCTGGGGATGGAGTCGTGATCCCAAAAGAGCTCTAGGCGGCTGGAGGAAGTTGGCAGATGGGGAAGATCCCTCTGTACATGCATGGGCCTCTGGGGATTGGAGGCTGGCACGCAAAGCTTAAGCCTTTCACTCTCAGATTCTTCTTTAGTGGAGACACGTTCACTGTCGCAGAACCAGCATTATCTGACAGCAGCAAATCCATAGCTTGTGCTTCGGCTGCCATTATGTTGCAGATCTGCATTTTGTTTATTTAACTGATGAGTGGGGTCTTCTACCCTCAGCATGGCAGGTACTGATGTTTGGTTAGCCCTGACATTTCTAAATTTAATGTATGCCATATACCAGATAGCTGTCCCTGTTGGGAAGAGCTCTGTGACACCAATATTACTATGTGTCAAACATTTGTGGGGACAGAAAGGTGAGTGAGAAATCTCCTGTGCTGGTAGGTCAGTGGGAATATTTTATAGCGTACACTGATGACCTAACTAGTGAATTAAGGTCATTAGATGAAAGGCAAAGTATTTTTAGTTATGTTCTATTTCTGTTCTTCTGTCTCCACATCCCTGATATCAACTCATGTGGGAGAAGGGACCTTTTCTTTTCTGCATGCTCTAGAAATCCAGTTCAACGTCAGTGCTTATTATGGGCTCTACATACTGTCTGCACTCTAATTAGCCACTGTATTTTCTAGGATTGCAGAACACCCAGGGAACCTTTATTTTTCAAACAACGTGACTCTTTATTACTTGTCAGTAATGTGGAAGGTTGGGAAAGGGGTTTATCGGTTTTTTTTCCAGCTCTCTGCCCTTCTTCCTGTTGAGATTTAATCAGAGTGGTTCACAGATGTTCCAAATACCAACTTAATAACACCAGATAGTCTCCAAACTTATTTTCCTCTCAGAATTACCTCTTATCCATACTTCGGGATAAACCAAGACTTTAAGGATGATGGTGTGTGTGTCTTTGTGTGTCAGCTGCTTTGAATGAACAGTCGTAATGAGGTTTCACTTGTACTTGAACCAGAGTCCAGTAAGTCAGAGCTGGTGAACTTGCGCTCACTGGGTTTGGAATTCATGGAAACTGGATGAGGGTTATGTGGCAGTTTCCTTTTTATTATCTAAGAGCTTACAAAGAAATTAATTGTGATGGATGAGAACTAAGACATAAACAGAAGGTGTTTTCACTTGGCATTAGACATTTCAGAAGCTTTCATTCACACTAATGTGCTATTTATAAGTCATTCCTGTCTATTTAAAATTAGTCCCCCTAATGGCCCCAGATAAACAGCATTTTATTAGTCTAGTTGCTGTATGTATTTAAAAGTAGCAAAATTGCATATTTTTTAAAAAATAGTGTCTAATTCAGTGTTGTCTTTTCACTCATCTAGGTACTCTCCCCATGCAAACACACTCCTACCCCTGAATGTGAATCAGTGACACTTTGGGTTTGGTTGCTCCTTGGCCTTTTTTTTTTTTTTTTTTTTTTATCATGGGATCTTGGCAAATAAGTCACATCCTAGAAACGTGGCTGTGATGAATTCTGGGCCCTTCCGTTGTAAGCCTGGAGAGAACAGTGTCTGTGCAGATGCCCATGAAGAGAGTTAAGGATGGGGATGGCAGTTATCCCATTCCCTTAAAGAAAAGCTCTTACAATTAAAAAGAATTTATATTTGCATAAAAACACTCAGAAAAGTAGCTTTGTTAGCTCTTTTGTTTGAAGTAATTTTTAGGCTGATCTTGCAGTTGAAAATATTTAATTACTGGGTTGTTTTGTTTTTGTTTTTTTTTTTCTTGTCATGGTTCATGAATTTTGCAGCCACTCCTTTTTCTGACTAATTAAACTGAGCAGTTGTCTGTTGCTACAACTTCTGCCAAACAGCCATTATTGTTGAGTAGTAAAATAAAGAAAAACAACACTAGTCACCGAAATTTGTTATATCCTAAAATACAAAATAAATAAATAAAATAGAGCCCAATTGGCATATTAGTTCCATTCCTGGGTGTGGGTTTAATTATTTAAACCTACAAAATCAAGTGCTCTGCTTCTGACTAACCATAAATGGGTATGCTGACAGTGTGAAATGTAAATTTATTTTCTCTCCTTTTGGGGGCTGCTAGTCCTGTCACACCTTCTGCGCTGGCTGAGCTTCTCAACTTGCTGGACAGAAAAGCAATCTCTTCATCAGCAGCTAAACAGGTATGTCCACACTTCCTAAAGTCTCCGACTGCTCTGCTCTCCCAGTAAATGTTTTATGCCAATTGCCATCACTAAGTGAATTTCATAACTGAAGAATTAAATGCTTGCATGTGCTGTTTTTCTACTGAAAAGGTAGAAACATTTCATTTAGCAAAGGGAAAAAAGCTGGTATGTGCAGTCTAGGTTATATGCTTCTCATCTTGCTAACCAGGGGAGTAGTTACTGCTTGGTTTCGCCTAGAATGTTTTCCAAACACATATTTATGTGAAAGGCAGTACTGCAGCTTGTGGGGGCGTCAGAGCATGTGCACGGCCCCTGCACCCTCAAAGCCAAGACCGGGGGCAGCTTTGGTGGCGCCCCCTGACCCTCTGGTCCTCCTCCATCCTCCACAGCCTCGCAGCCAGTGCTAGGGGCTTACTGCTCTTCGTTGCCTGATTGCCCCCTAAAATTCAGTCTCCTGGCAAGGAGGATAAGGTCATTCAACAGATACAGTGTCCTCCTCTTGCGCAGTGTCTGTACACTGAGAAAAACAGCAGTGGCTTCAGAGGTGGCCTCTGCTTCATCTCCCTCCACCTGAGAGTCGAGGTGGGCAAGAGACTCCTGGAATCCAGAAAACTCTTAGAAACAAGTATCCAGAGGGATAAAGAACACCAAGCCGGCTGCCTGATCTCAGCTTTGGATATTGAAGCCATCAGTGCTTCAGCCAGAAACGTAATGTGCCTTTAATGGTGCCTTTTGCATTTAATATTTATGCACATCAACAGTAGTGACTGGTACTAAGTGAGGCTTTGGAAAAGCAGCTGCTTTTGGCTAATTATAAGGCACTGTGGAGTGTGAACCCAGCTCTGCACAGTGAAACTGGAGACAGAACGAACAAAGGTTCTGTTTACTCGCCACCCAGTGAGGCTGTCGGTTGCAGGGACCTTGGCACATGTAGGAGAGGATTTTGGTTGCTTAGATGTCAGAATACAAATGTTTATGACAGTGCTCGGCAGTAACAGAAACATTAGATGGCCTGAGGGCAGAAGAAAGCTCTCTGTATATATACATAAGAGTAAATGAATTGTAGCATTTGAAATGAAAGGGGAAAAAAATTTCTCTTTCTCACTCATCCTGCCCCTCCAGGGAGTGGGAGGAGACAGGGAAGGATGGACAGAGGGAGGGAGAGAAGGAGGGAGGGAGGGAGGGAGGGAGGGAAAGGGAGGAAGGAAAGGGGGGAAGGGAGGAAGGAAGGAAGGTAGGTAGGTAGGTGTAAAGTATTAGAAATAGGGGTTGATTGTCCTAAGGTGTTAGAGTTTTTTATTTTTATTTTTTTTTAAAGATTTGATTTATTTATTCATGAGAAACACACACACACACAGAGAGGCAGAGACACAGGCAGAGGGAGAAGCAGGCTCCATGCAGGGAGCCCGACATGGGACTCGATCCCGGGTCTTCAGGATCAGGCCCTGGGCTGAAGACGGCACTAAACCGCTGAGCCACCAGGGCTGCCCAGGTGTTAGAGTTTTTTAAAAAGAAATTTCAAACTAGAGGGAACTCACTGGTATGCTAGGTTGTTTCTAGTTTTGTTTCTGAAGTATTGCTTTCAGTTTAGTTATGATTCTGTGACACAAAGAGAAATTATCTTTAAAAATTTTTTTTAATTTTAATTTTTTAAAAGATTTTTATTTATTTGAGAAAGTAAGAGAGCATGTATGCAGAAGCATAAGGGAGGAGCAGAGGGAGAAGCTGACTCCCTACCAAGCAGGAGGCCTGATGTGGGGCTTGATCCCAGGAACCGAGAGTCATGACCTGAGCCAAAGGCAGACACTTAATCAACTGAGCCACCCAGGCACCCCAAAAGAGAAATTGTCTTAACAGCTGGCAAAAGACATTCAGCTGTCCCTTTTTCTGTGGACAAAACAATGCTGTGGGTTGTCTGGGGCTCTGAATGTCAGGTGAAAGAATGTGGAAAAAAAGAAATATGAGGGATGCCTGGGTGGCTCAGCGGTTGAGCCTCTACCTTTGACTCAGGGTATGATCCCAGAATCCTGGGATCGAATCCCACATCGGGCTTCCTGCATGGAACCTGCTGCTCCCTCTGCCTATGTCTCGGCGCCTCTCTCTCTCTCTCTCTCTCTCTCTCTCTCTCTCTCTCTCTCTCTCTCTGTGTCTCTCATGAATAAATGAATCTTTTAAAAAAAATCTGAGATTGCACCTCTGAAGTCCCATATGTGTTATGTGTATATGGGTTTTTTGTTATCTCTAAAATAAAAGCTCTTTCTACTGTAAAAAAAAAAAGGAAGGAGGAAGGAAGCCTAGTACAGTGAATATGATTGGTTCAATGGGAAGAAATGGAAAATACTAGGTAATTAATGCTGACAGCTGGTTCATATATAGCTAGGGCCACCTTTGGGTTCTATCAACTTCCAGCATGTTATGCCGATGTATGCCAGCATAAATCTCCTGTATACACTATTCCCTTGGGAGTTTTGCTTTTTTAACTTTTCTACTTTGTTTCCTGTTTTTAAGAAAATCACTTACTGATTTTCTGGTGGAAAAAAAAAGTCTTATTCATTATAAAGAATTTAGTGCAGAAAACTACAAACATCTTCAGATCCTACCACCTTGAAAGCACTACCATTAATACCGGGTGAACACCATCCCAGGTATCCTTCACGCACGTGTAATTAGAAGAATAGATTGATGAGACGGACAGACACGAGGTTAGAAATGAAGACATTAGAAAGTAAGAGGTTATAGTCCTTTTTTTTTAGTTTATTTCTTTATGAAGTGGACAGTTCATTGTTTTTAGTATATTCACAAAGCTGTGCAGCCATCACTACTGTCTAATTCCAGAACATTCTCATCACATCGAAAAATAAGCCGTTAGCAGTCACTCCCCACTAACGCCATTCCCTCGGTTACCACTAATCTACTTTCTGTCTCTTTGGATTTGCTGACCATTTGACGTAAATGAACTTCTACAACATGTAGCCCTTTATGTCTGGCCTCTTTACTTAATGTGATACTTTCAAAATCCATCCATATTGTAGCTCATGCCAGTACTTCATTTCTATTTTAGGCTAAAGAATATTCCATTGTAAATGGATGCCACATTTTGTCTATCCATTCATCAGTAAATGGACATTTGAGTTGTTTCTAGCTTTTGGCTCTTTTTTTTTTTTAAGATTTTATTTATTTATTTATTCATGAAAGACAGAGAGAGGCAGAGGGAGAAGCACGCTCCACACAGGGAGCCTGATGTGGGACTCGATCCCAGGACTTCAGGATCATGCCCTGGGCCGAAGGCAGGTGCTCAACTACTCGGCCACCTGGGCGTCCCTAGTTTTTGGCTCTTATGAAGATGCTGCTTTGAACATTTGTGTTCAGATGTTTTGGTTTGAGCATATGTTTTCAAGGTTCTTGGGTATAGAGAATGGAATTTCTGGGTCATATGGTAATTATACATTGAACGTTTTGAGGAGCTGCCCATTTTCCAAACTGGCTGCACCCACCACTAACATTCCCACCAGCAATGTACGAGAGTTCCAGTTTCCCCATATCCTTGCCATCCTAGTAGGTGTAAAGTGTATCTCACTGTGGACTTGATTTGCATTTCCCTAATGACTAACTACATTGAGCATCTTCTTGTGTCTTTTATAGTGTACTCTTCTTAAAAGAAAAACATTACAGTTAATTTTTACTAAATTTAACAAAAGAATCCAAGTAGGCCTTGGGTTTGAGAAACCCTGTGAGCCAGAGGGTACTCAAGCAGAGCAGAAAAATTCTCTGCTTCCACCCCTTATGGGTGTTTCCCTCTGACAGAACTGGAAGAGGTTCCGGTAGTGATTAGATGACCAGGAGATGAGGAAAAAAGTTGACCAAGTAACTGGCTCCTAAGGATGACATATTCATAGAAAGATCCTTAGAACATTCTGAATTCTGGGGCACCTGGGTGGCTTAGTCTGTTGAGCATCTGCCTTTAGCTTGGGTTGTGATCCTGGGGTCCTGGGGTCGAGCCCTGAGTCGAGCTCTCTGCTCAGCAGAGAGCCTGCTTCTCCCTCTGCCTCTGCTGCAATCCCTGCTTGTGCATGCATATTCTCTTTCTCTCTCAAATAAATAAATAAAAATCTTTTTAAGAAATTCTGAATTCCAAAGAATTTCCCACTTTGTCTAACTTATTATTATTAATCCATCTTTCTCCCTTACATCGTCCCCCATTATTTCATCCCTTACACCCTTCACCCTTCACTGCTCCTTCCTCGCAGGTGTTCTGGCAATGCTTCTGAGATTTACAAACCTCATCCCTTTGGCACCCTAGAGGCCAGGGGTTGCTACCATGAAGCACCTCTATTTTCCAGAAATAGAAAAAGATGATTTATCATCATGAGCAACCTCCTGGTAACTGTAGACGGAATCCTCTGGATTTCTGTCATGGGATCCAGTTCTACCTGTGGAAGTCATGGCTAGCAGCCCCCTCTCCTTCCCTCACCAAGGAGAGGGCCGTCAGAATGGCAGTTCCCCTACAGGACAGCATCCCAGGGTCCTGAGCCTCTTGTGACTCAGAGGCCCTGGGTGCCTTCCAGACTGCTGGCCAGCCACAGCCCCAGGAGAAATCGCACAGAATGTGTCCCCTTTGGGCACACCTGAAATAGATGTGGATGATCCACGGGCTCCTAGGGATTGTCCAGTTAGCATTTCTAGTGGAACCAAACTGGCTTGGGATTCCATAGAGATGGAAATTGAATTTTAACATATAGGTGTGCCACTTAACCCATTTCCTCTTGTCTACTTTGGGGTCTGCTTTATTTACTTATTTATTTGCCATAAAATAAAGTCATTTCATTGAATTTTAAAAGATTTGCCTATATCAAATAGGAAACTTTGAAAAACTGCTCAATATAATCTGCAATATGATTTTTTTTTGGCAAATTTTTTTTGGTATTTTTTTTAGTGGAGTTCAATTTGCCAACATATGGCATAACACCTAGTGCTCATCCCGTCAAGTGCCCCCCTCA